TAGAAATGAAATGCTGGAGACATTTCCCAAAGCAAACTTTCATCTTTGTGACACTAGCGGCTGTAAGTGAGTTTTATTTGGCCGTCCTCAGAGCAAAATGGCTCTTTAGTCTTAAAAGGTTGCAGACCTCTGGACTGCAGTTTTCTCCAATGTTCCTGAACTCTCTTTAGTTCTGTCATAACCGTGTGGAGCCAACAGAACCGGAGGATCAGTTCTTGTTTTTGTCAGAGTCCAGGACCAGATGGGTCTTTTTGATCAGCCAAATGAGTCTGGAGAGGAGCCGTCCGCAGCGCTGCGGGGCCTCCTCTTCATCACAGAGCCGTAGAGGAGGAGGAGGATTTGGTTTCTCGTGTTTTAGGACGGCGCTGGAGGTCAGCTGGTTCTGGTTAAATGGCGGCTCTGGAGCGTGAGGTCAGTTTCTACTCCATCAGAAAGAGAACTGGACTTTCCTAAAAGCACCTGTGCTGCTTTCGCTGTCCTCGCTTTTTACTTCTGCCTCTACTCTTCTCCTCCATCAGAGTCTTTTCATTCCTGGTATTTTATCCTCACCTGGTCTCCTTTTTGTTTGACCGAGTTTCTGATAATTACTCACACCTTTTTTCTCTCCTCTGGATCAGACTCTATTCTTCTTGTCAGGCCTAAAATAGCTCAGTGTTGTTGTAATAACACAGAACCACTAAACCAAATGGCCTCCAGCTATGACTGTGTCGAGGCGCAGCGCTCTGAGCATGCCCAGACCAAAACCACTGTGAGGCAACAGCGAAACCCAAGACATGGAGAAAACAACACGTCGTCGCTCTCGCGCACCACATCCAGCTGCTCCTCGTTTGTTTGCATCTTCTCATTATTTTTCAGACTTCTTCTTCTTTCACTGAATGCATTCGGTCGTGTTGGGTTTCTGTTTGAAATGCGTCTCTCTTTGATTTCTGGAAGTTTTTGGTGTGTCATCAGGCGTTCCTTTGCTCTGAGCTCATTTTTGTGACATTGCAGTAAATAACTCATGCGGTTTTGTCTCCTGTGCATCACCAGTAATCAGCCAAACTCTGAAAAGTGTGTTTGGATAACGATTTCTATTCAAAACAAAAGACTGAGTTTATTTTATTTAAGGGTGGAGGACACGTGAGCGGTGTCTCTCAGCAGTGACCTAGATTTGCGTATCACTGTTAAATTAATTAAATTAAATCCAGTAGAAAACAACAGAGCAGAGGTCTGAGTACACAGCCTTGAGGTATCCCAGGTAAACCAGGGCTATAGAAAAGTGAGTACTACAAGTATTTTCCAATGCTTTTATTGTGAAGTGACTTTCTTAAGGTGGTGGTTTCTTGATAGTCATTTTTCTTTTCTCTATTTTGCAGCTGAAACATGAAAGGTGTCGAAATGGACCACTTTAAAAATGAGCAAGCTGATTTCTGTTCAGATAATAATTTAAAAGTGCGCTTACTTAGTAATTGTGATAGTGATTACTTAGTTCTAGATTAATAACCTGTTAATATTCTGATTCAGAAAACCCGCTCTTTTTTTATACGTTTCTTTGCAAAGTTTTCTAATATTGAAATTAGTCTAGAGTTTTTTCTGTCTGTCTTCTATGAATTCAGTCCTTTAAAAGTGCCAGTTAATCATGTTCCTGTCATTACATCTCGTTCATTTTATCATTAAATATATAATTGTTCTTCATCAGAAATTTCAATGGTTGGTATGGCCTAATTAGCAGTGATTGAAGCTAAGAAGCGTCTGTTTCCAGACGTTTGGAGGCATGCTGGTGAAAATCGTCCATAAAGCAAGTTTTCAGTTCTATAAAATCAGTTCTGAGTAAATAAACACATAAAGCAGGCCTGAACACATCCAGTCATGTAGAAGCTCCGCAGCAGTGGGAAGACGGCCTGAGGACCGCTGAGGGGAAACGGCATCAAATCGATTGTTGCTCTTGAGTCTTGGCATAAATGGAGTTTAATGGCGTGCGGAGCGCGTCCTGGGAGCAGTAAAGCATTTGAAAGGAAACTCCCTCTGAGCCGAGTCGGAGCGGAGGAGCACGGGATTAAAGAGAAGTGTGTTTTTATGTGATCTTTGTATGTTGTCACTCCAGAGGAAGCCGGCGTGTTGCCAATCAGTCATGATTAGGTTGGAGAGACCTCTCTGGCTCTGGGTGTGAGCTGGTGTTGGTGGGTGGTCGCTCGGCGCTCATCATGTGTGAAAAGACGGAGCTGAGCTCTGGGAATGTGCAGCTCCATTAAGCAGAGTAAATGAAACATGCAGCAGCGTAAATCATCACAAGGAGCGTCACTTTTTCTGTCGTCCTAATAGGCCCACTTGTCTCTAATGAGTTTCTGTCTCGGTTCCTGTGGCTGCCTTGGTATTCAGCTCCGGCTGTGTCAGGATTTAGGAAGTGTCCCTCTTCATATTTTGCTTTTCTGGACCAGAGAGTTGTGTAAGCGTGCATGAATGTGGATTCCTTGGTATGAAATGTTAAAGTTGGCTCCTGCAACAGGAAACTCCCAGTTACGAGATTTAAAGGGTGATTCTGGGACGCTTCCCTCCTTTGTACTGCGGTTGGTTTTAGAGCAGCCATCTGGTTGGTTGTTCCTGCCTTTGTAGCTGGACACCATCACATTTTCTGGGATTACTGGAGCTCTTTACAAGGGAAAGGTTTGGGAACTGATTCCAGTTTTCTCTCTTCATATAATAGATTCTCCATCCAAACTCAGCTGAGCTAAACGCCTGGAAGAAGAAGAAAATACAAACTTCTCACACCTTTTGTCTTTCTGCTTTCTCTGTCTCTTTGGAGGAAAAACTTTGATTTGGCCCAAATCATTTCAGTTTTTTTTTATTTTACGATTGTAGAATATTTAAGTGTTTAAAGTTTTATAAAGTTATCATTAATACCCACAGATGTGTAGGATTGTGTGCGTTCACTGCAAAAACACCAAATGTTTCTGTCCAGTTTCTATACAAATATCTTATTACACTTGAAATAAGACGAAACTAATTTAAGTAACTTTTCAGACAGATATAGGAACTTGTTTTAAAGCAATAATTTCTTAATATTAACTTTAAAAAATAATTTTTCCACTGCGAGATTATTTCACTTTCTCTGTTTTCAATGAAAATAATCTGCCAGTTGAACTAGTATTTTTAAAATCAATATCAAGTTATTATTGACTTGAAACAAGCAGATTTTCTGCCTTTTTTTATCCCTTTTTATAGTCAGAAACCTGTTTGATGTTGGATACGATAAGAGAAACCAAACTGCTGAATCATGTTAAAACCACAGACTCAGAGAATGCTGACTCATCGGTTGCCATGGGGATTTCCCCCATTTTCTACAAGCCACAGCTCCACCATTTTTATCGGAGGACCAGGAAGCAGCAGGCCTGAATGAAAACCTCAAACAGAGTTTCTTTGTATAAATTACCAGTCTGATTTTAAATGTTCCCAAACAGAAGAAGCAGAACCTCTAATATAACTTCAGAGGTAGATGTTTCTGTTTTACTTCATGCTGCACTGTTGAAAGAAAAAGTCAGAGCTGCTGTTTTTCCTTCACTGAGGCCAAAATAAGAAGTTTAAATCAAAATGTTTCTGCTTATTTCAGAGTGGAAACCAACCTATTGGATAAAGTTTAACGTTCTGAGTTATTTAAGCTTTAAACCATGAAGTTACAGAAATAAGTGACTGACTTATGGAGTTAAATTGGCCTATTTGCTCATTTTTCTGGGAAACTGAACTCCAAATTATTTGTGGAAAATTTGTTTATTTTCCGTTTAATGCAACTCCAAATTTGTCTATTCACAGATATTTTTTAGGGCACATCTAAAATATTCAAAATAAGTATCAGCTTTGGAAGCGACTCAACGCGCTGTTATTGTCTGGTGGTTTGCAAAACAGCCAGTCCAAGAGTGGCTTTCACTTTCTTTGTTGCTGATTGGCTGAACCCCCCAGGGCTTCTGTACGTATTAATGCATATTAAGTTGCATTTGGTTTAATGTACAGATGTAAGGCCTGAAGTCGTGGTGGATGGTTTTGGTACCTAACCCCCATTAATCCCAGCGGTCCTTTAGCTGTGGTGTTTTATTCCCAGTTGAATCCCATTTTGATGCATTCGTTATGGAAGCTGAGGAACAGGAAGAGGAACGGCTCCAGATGTAATAATGTAAATAAATGTGCTTCCATTGTTTAAGTTTGGCAAAATCATCAACTTAAAGAGTTTATTTGCCGTATGTCAGTGTCTTTTCTTTTGGATCTATCTGTTAAAAGCATCTGTGCCTGGATTTTTAAAAAGCCACATTTTTGTGCTTTGAGTCACAAAGGCCTCGGTGTGAAGCGTTTCCTCCTCCTCCAGAGTTTGAGCTTGTCAGACCTAATCACTGTGAGGATGTGCTGGTTTTCTGGCTGATCTCTGTTGCTTTTTAAAGGACTTATAATCTCCGGGTTTCCATCCGCTGCCTCCAAATTACACATTTCATTCCTTCAGGATTGTTTCCATCGGTGGCGATCTGCCTCCCGATCGATGGGGTGTCTCTGTGAGCCTCGCAGGCCTCCGTCCACCACTTCACACGCAGCCGTTCTTCCCCCAAAAAGTCCCCTTCCCTGCTGAGTTCAGATCAGCGAGTCCAACGGGTAATTTTGTGGCTCCGCCTGTTCTCCTCGTTTGGCCTCTGGAGGAGCGGCGTTGGGTTTCAGAGCTCTCACTCTGCAGCTGCAGCTTTTCCTTCTCTTTAGTTTCAGACTCCAGCTCTCCGTCTGCTTCCCTCCTCCATCATCCACTTGAGCTGCTTTCCGTCTCCCAGCCCACCTGCTTCCTCTCTGAGGGATATTTTAAGCCGTTATTTTCTCCGCTGTTATTGAGTTGCTCTGTCTGAGTGATAAGAGGAGGAAGAGGAAGAGATGCAGGAAGCATCAAGCCGCTCCGCCCTGATAGAAACATGCAGACCGATAAAAGCTCTTCCCTCTGCTCCATCACCTGAAGTGAGTTCAGCATTAAAGATGTTTGGTTTGTTCTCCTGCAGCCGTCATGAAAGCCGGCCCAAACGGCTCCGGCTGGAGCAGCGAGCGAGAACTGCTGTTTGGAGGAAACGTCCAGAGCGCCGCGCCGCCGTCGCTCTCCGCCTCCTTCTCCACGGTGACCACCTCCATCGACGGAGTCAGCTTCTCGGAGGGAGACCTGCTGCTGCAGGTTTGGCTTTGCTTCAGAGCTGCAGCTCAAACGTGATTGGTTCAGAAAGCAACCGTGCCTCCTCTGTGTCTGCAGGCGCTGAACGGCTTCGTGTTGGTGGTGACGGCTGAGGGTTACGTCTTCTACACGTCGCCCACCATCCAGGACTTCCTGGGCTTCCACCAGGTACAACACAGCAGCTACCGCAAATATGCACCAACCACGTGTGTGTCACCCTGATGTGTCCCTCAGGTTCTGCTAAATCATGAACGTTTTCACTGTTTTCAAATAACAGGAACAAAAATCAATCAAAACTGTCCATAATATTCACAAAACTTACAATAAAACCTCAAAAAGGAGCAGATTTGACTGGCAGATGCTCTAGACCTCAGCTCTCTTCTCAGCTGCACAGAACCTAAATTAGACAATAAAGTCTTTGTGTGTTGATTTGGCTTTATGGTTCATGTATTTGCAGATTTTTATTTAATATCTGCTGCTATTTTAACTTCACCAACAGTCACAGGAGGAGACTGTTGGTGAAGGGAGTATGTTCAGGATTTCTCAGTAAACAGATAACTCCGAAATAATCACAACTAATTTGCCAATTTGTTGATTTTCTGTGAAATTTAACTACAAATTATTCACGTAAAATTATTTGTGGAAAATTTGCTGATTTTTCTTGTGGGAATTTCACCAATTGGCCTTTTTTTTTTTTTTTACCCAACTCCAAATTATTCTAGGAAAATTGTTTGATTTTCAGATTTTTTTTAAATGCAACATAACTCCAAATAATTCACAACAAATTTCCCTATTTGCAGATTATTTTTATAATGCATAACTCAAAATTTTCATTAAAAATTCAAACATTTTTCTGTGAAGCTCCAATTTACTGTTGGAAAATAGCAGCAGGCCGAGCACAGACCCTGAAGGAACGGTGTTCCTCACAGCAACGTCTCAGATCATCAGGAAGACATCGGTCAGTCGGCCCTGATCACCACACATCCTCCACCGTGCTCATCAGCTCACAGGAGAAGCTTTCTCACATGCTCACCGTTAATTTCACCCACCTGGAGAAGCTCAGTGTTTGGCTCAGTTAAAGTCCAAGTGGAGCGTTCCAAAGTCCACATGTTATTAATTATTATTTCCTCTGGTAAATAAATGCTCAGATTAAAGTTTATACAACTTTTAGGCTGTTTTGTTGCCATCAGGACTCTAAAAACAGGTGTTTTCTCTGCTTTTAGTTGCGTGGCAGATGAAGTCTCAGCTGGACGACATGCTGACTGACACACGCACACACACACACTCCGACACACACTTGCATTGAATCACATGAGAGTGCGTGAGAACTGAACCTCTTTGTCGGCTCTGAACTCTTGACTCGTAAACACATCCGTTTGAACCGGGGTTAAACATGTCTGCAATCTGAGGCTGGGGGTGGGGGATAAAAAACTGTTCCCGGGGGGGAAACACGTGGATCACACAAACACACAACACGGTGTGTGTTTCCAGCTGATCCAGGAAGTCTGCAGCAGCTGCTGGAGCGAACCAGCTGCTGTAGCGATTAGTGATTAGCTCTTCTGGAGCTGATCTGAGATCTGCTGAGGGAGAGATGAAAGCAGGAACCAACCTCTGTGTTTTAGATGTTTAGCACACAGACACCAGGGGGCGCCGGACTCACAGAAACATTTGACTGATTTGTTGTTGTCATTCAGTCGGACGTCGTCCATCAGAGCGTGTTTGAGCTGATCCACGCAGACGACCGCGCGCTCTTCAGACGCCAGCTTCACTTCTCCTTCAACCCCGATGCAGACAGCTCCGAGAGTCCCAGTAAGTCTGACACAGGAATACGCACCTGAACGCCTCACGCACGCACCATTCATCCTCACTCTGCTGTTCAGTGTTTCCTTTTACATTCACAGGACTTAATGAATGACTTTGCACTGATTATTCATCTTTATTTTTGGTTTGTTGTTGTTTTCTTTGCTGGTTTTCAGTTGTTCTATTGTCTGTTCTTCAGCTTCGGATCCGTTTTGTGTTTAGTTTAAATGCTTTTCTTTTTGTCTGTTTTCTCTCTGCTCTTCCAACCAGCCTTGTTTTGTTTGTTTTTCTATGTTTGCTTTGCTTGTAATTTGCTTGTTTTACATAAATGTCACTCTGATTCATGGTTATGGTTCAGAGTTTTCTCTCTGTGGGTTGGAGATGCATTTCAAAAACACTTTGTTTCCTTTATCTGCATCTCTTTCTTTCCTTTTTTTTTATGGAAGAAGGTTTTGTTTGACATTTTTTTCTGATATTTTGGTTACTTCAGTTTTGTTTACTTTGGTTTTGCTTCTTTTTATTTCTCGTTTTAAATGATGTTTGCTTCTTTAGCTGTAGTCCTTCTTGTTGCTCACTTTCCTGTTTGGCTTCTCTTCTTTCTTTTTGTTTTTTTTATAGGTTTTATTGTTTTTACATGATGCTTTGCAGAAAAACGTCAGGGTTTTTTTAAGAACTAAATCTAGTTTGAAGCTTCCTGACTGTGTTGTCTGCTCCCTCGCCCGTCCAGGTGAGCAGAACAGCGCTGACATCAGCACCAACGTGGTGGCCTACGACCTCCAGACCATCCCTCCTGAGAACTCGTCCTTCCTGGAGAGAAACTTCTGCTGTCGTTTCCGCTGCCTGCTGGACAACTCGTCTGGTTTCCTAGTAAGATGCTGCTCCTGTTCTTCCTGAAGCCGCCGTGCAGATTGTCCCTCTGAGCTGCATCTCTTCCTCCTCAGGCTCTGAACTTCCGTGGCCGGCTGAAGTTACTCCATGGGCAGAACCGGGTATCGGAGAACGGGTCGCTGGTTCCTCCTCAGCTGGCTCTGTTCGCCATCGCCACGCCGCTGCAGCAGCCGTCCATCCTGGAGATCCGCACTAAGACCCTCATCTTCCAGACCAAACACAAGCTGGACTTCACGCCCATCGGTATCGATGGCAGGTGAGTTAAACCGCCGACCGGCCGTCAGGACGACGAGCCACCGCTGCAGGAAGCTGACGTGTTTGTGTCCACAGAGGGAAGATCGTTCTGGGCTACAACGAGGTGGAGATCTCCATGAAGGGTTCAGGCTACAGCTTCATTCACGCCGCCGACATGATGTACTGCGCCGACAAACATCTACGAAGTAAATGGAACTATAAACTACTAAATGTTCCAGAATCATTCAGATCATTTATGCATATTGATACATTTCAATTAATAAGGGTGAATGTTTGTAGATATTGATCCACTTTATTGATAACTGGTACATGTCAGTCGATGTATCCTGATGAATTTGATCCGTTGTATTAAATACTGGTGATTTAAATCGTGTTTCTTGTCTGCAGTGATTAGAACCGGAGAAACCGGCTTCACCTTCTTCAGACTGCTGACCAAAGATCGGCGCTGGGTCTGGGTCCAGTCCAACGCCCGGCTGGTCTATAAGGACGGGCGGCCAGAGTTCATCGTGGCGCGGCAGCGAGCGTTGACGTGAGTCCTTCTGGTCCGGACCGGAGACTCAGACTTCTCCGTGGCTCTGGTCCTGACCCGGCTGCTTTTGTCACTCTGCAGGAACGAGGAGGGGGAGGAGCAGCTGCGCCTGCGCCAGCTGCAGCTGCCCTTCAACTTCGCCACTGGCGAGGCGCAGCTGTACGACCTGCCGCTGAGCCTGGAAGTCCCGGACCTCTGCTCCGCGCCCAAGCTCCGGAAGATGGAGGGAGAACCCAGCAACTCCAACTCCCTGCTGGGCTGCCTGCTGAGCCAGGACCGCGCTGCCTACTGCAAGCACGAGAGCCCCAACGGCATCAGCTCGCTGAGCGACGTGGCGTTCCAGGACACCCACGCCACAGTCAGCGTCCCCCGAGAGCTGCAGGCGGAGCCGGCGCCCAGCGTGCCGCTGCTCCGCATGGACCCCACCATCCAGGACATGGTGGAGACGCTGGAGTCGCTGTTCGGCGACGCAGACCTGATCGAGGCGGTGGACGTCGGGCCGGAGGAGCTGCAGAGCTGGGAGAACTCGCTGATCAACTTCACCACCGGCAACCAGGTGTTCAAGGACGACCTGAACGACATCCTGAGCAGCGACATCCTGACCTACGTGGCAGAGCAGCTGCAGAGCGAGGGCGGCCTGGCCTTCCCCGAACCGCTGGACAAGATCCAGAACCACAACCCAGAGCCGGCCGGGCAGCAGGACTTCAGCTGGCCCGTCCAGATCCAGAACCAGATCCAGAACCAGATCCAGAACCAGATCCAGCCGCCGCCTCTCTCTGGGTCGGCCAAGCTCAGCCACCTGGACTTCCCTCCCATGGCCTCTGCTGGGCTCAACGGCCTGCAGGTTCCGGTTCCGTCTTCACTTCAGCTGGGCAGCTCCACAAACATGACCTTTAACCCTTCGTGTCGTCAGCACCAAGTTTTTAAAAGCAGCCCTACAGACTTAACGGACCCGGACCAGAACGCGGGTGGAACCGTCAACCCGGTGTTTATCTTTAAAGGCTCCCAGTGGGGCGAGTCCAGCCCAGCCCAGAACTTTGTAGAACCATATGCCCCGAATATTTCAAGTGGCGCTGGCGCCCAGCCGCCGCTGTCCGGGTTCCAGCCCAACCCCACCATTCAGAACGCCTTCAAAACCCCCGAGCCCACCCCGCTCCCCGACCAGCTGGACTGCATGTTCAGAACCACCGCCACCGCCACGCTACTTCCCAACGGCGTCAATCACGGCCAGGCCAGAACCGACCCGGACTCCTTCCACTTGCAGGCCAAAGCCGCCTGCTACTACCAGGCGCTGCCTGCAGGCGGCGCTGTGGCGGCAGCACTGCCATCGCATAAAGAGGCGGCGTTGACCTACCAGGTCAAGTCCAACGGCCGGACGATGCGGCAACACTTTCTACACTTCAGTGAAAACACACAGGTTGACTCCTTCTCCTTCATACTTTGACTAGGACAGCAAGCACGAAAATATGAGAATTGATAAATAAAAAAAATACTGGCTGTTTATGTAGCAGCGCTGATCTGAAGTATGGAAGCTCAAAAGGGACAAAATTAAATAAATAATTCATGAAATCATTAATTAAATTATTTATTTTATACAGAAATTTCATTAAATGGTTAAAATTCAAACCTCTAACAGCTGATGCTGAAAATTAATTTATTATGTATTTATTTTTTTATGGTTCCACCATGAATTCATCTGATCAAAGTCGGGGGCAGGGCTTATAGTGGCGCTTTCCCATCAGGCCTTTGGAGAGACTTTACAGTTATTAGGCCACAACGATTTATTATTAATAATTATTAATTTGATGTTCAGTTCAATTCTAAAGAAATTTCCTTTTAAGATTTTTAGTTTTGCAAATAATGTTTGAGTTTTTTTAAAATGAGAAGAAAAACTAAAACATGTAAAACTTCAGCAGTTAAATAAAATAACAGTAATGTTCAGCTCTTAAAACCATTCCTATCACTAATATTCTTATTTATGACACCAGTCACATAAAGTAGTGGGTTTTTTTTTTTTTATCAATAAACTGGACTCAGTATCTGCATTTAAACATATTTTCAAATTAATTGAAATGTATTGATGCTCATTCATGTAGAAGAATAGTAAATAGTAAAGACATGAGACAAATTGGACAGTTTGAGGTTTTTAAAAATCATTTGTATGAATTTATCATAATAAATGGAAATTTATCTACCATGAAACTTAGAAAACCAGTTTCTAGATAGAAAGGTATTTTTGCTCCCCCTGGTGGTCAACATCTGCTAAGCTTTCTAGATTAAATCTGGACTAAATCTCTCGGCTTTATTACCCAAATGATTCTGTTAAATTGGGAAAATACAAAGTTTACCACAGGTTTCTTGACCCGATGGCTCAGTTTTGTAAACTTCAGATCGTTCCAGGTCTCTGAGTTGATATGTTTTTTCTCCTCAGATGGACAACCGTCCCATCGTTGGGAACGGAGGATTCCCCTTCACCTCGCTGCCCAACAGGAAAACCTGCCTGACAGAGAACAAATAGGACCGCCGGGACACCTGGACTCCAACTTGGACTGAAACTCGGACTCATCCGTGGAAAACCGTAAAGACTGGAGCGACTAACGAGGGTTAGACTGAAGAACGGGCGAAGGACAAGTTCAGGTTTGGTGGTGTTGGCTCAAGAAGACAATCGGGACGATTTATCACAGCTGGAGAAATATTTCCTCTTTTATTAAATAATTTTTATGATCAGCATATATTTTATTGTAATACTTCCTCATATAGGTATCAAGAGTCTTCAAATTAACCCATAAAAATGGAAGAGAAATATTTTGAGTCATTTTTCCTTCAGATTTAACGGTGAGAAGCAACAAAACGACGTGTGGAGCGTTCATAAAGCATTAAAAACATTCATTTAAAACACTTTTTATCGCTGGTGATGCACACAGGCAGTTTGAGGTGGTTGGAAGTGAATTTAAGTATAACAGGACAGAATGCGAGCTGTTTGGTTCACCACAAGGGGGCAGCAGTTACAAACCTGAGTGACTCCTAATCCAAGTCGACGCCTAGAGGCCAAAGGTGGTACTGCACTCCACAGCTCCACACTCATTTGTTTCCCATTTTAGCTCCATTTAAAAAAAAAAAAAAAGAAAACGACGAGAACACTGAACCAGCCGCGTGTTTTTCCCGCTGTCGTGTTCAGCGCACAAATGTTCCGCTCCGACCCGAACGCCGAGCCGGGTCGACGAGTCACTGGTTGGTTGTTTGGTTGCTGTTTTAATCCGTCTCCATTGAGTTCATTTCAACTGTCCCGCAGCGGGGAAGATTTGCTTTGCAAGCAGACAGGGTATAATATAAAAACCATGAACATAAACGCACAACAGAGTGACGTCATCATCCTACTACGAGCCTGGAAGTCGAGTCGATTCAGTGAAAACAGCTGCTTGTTTGTATATTTTAAAGCTTCGTCTCTGAGCCAGATCTTTCTCTTCTCTTCCTTTCGTTTTAGTTTATTTTATTTTTTTCTTCTGATGTTTTGCTCTTTTCTTGTCAGGGGGGTAAAATACAGACAGTGCCTTAAACTGATGGAGCTTTAAAAAGAAAAAAAGATTTAAAAAAAAGGGAAAATATTTAAAAATCGACCACATTTACTTTATTAGTTTAAAGCCAAACTTTGAGATTTGTTTCACTTTAAGGTGTTTGATTTGCCAAAGCACAGAAACATTTAGGATTAGATTTCTGGAGCCACTTTATAAAACTAACCTGGCACAAATTAAAACTTTAGCACTTAATTTTTAAATGGTAACTCTCGCTGCGCTCTGTTTGCACTAGATTTAAAGATAAAAGTTTATTTTAGCAAGGCTCACATCCTCCTCTGTGTCTCCATATCCTTCAACCCGTCCAGCAGCAAAATGCAGAAGTAAGACAGTGTAAGGCAGCTAATGTATATATAAAATAAGGAAAATAAATGGAAAATCTCATTCATAGATGCCTTTTAATTGACATGGTTTTAACAGTTCAGCCCAAACTGAGCCAACTTTAGTAGCGCTTCTTCCAGAATAAGAAAAAAAAAAATCGTTTTCATCAGATTTTAGAGGAAACAGACTTGAATTGAACCAAACTTTTGAAACCAAAGCCATCTAAGAAGCTTTACTCCTGAGGATACCAAAGGGAATGTAGCATGATTAACATTTTCCGGAACGTTCAGGTCAACATCCAGGCTTAAATGAAACCGTTTTTTAAACATTTTTAACCACAAACGCGCGCTCAGGTCTCACCGCGAGGTTTATCCAATCTGCTCCAGGCTTCCTGTTGGTTTAAATGTTTTGCACAAGTCAGACATGGAACTCTGGGAAATGTAGTTGTCCAGCATTCAGCGCTTCTGGAAATGGATGAAACTCCCTGAGCGTTTCCTCATGGAGCCGAACGTTTGTTCAGATTCAGTTAGAAATCCAAACCCAGCATGAAGCGCTTCATCCTCAGTCAGTGCCTTTGTTTCACAAAGTATTCTATGTATAGAGATATAAATATATATTGTTACTCTCTCTTACACTATAAAAAGTCTTCAATATTTGACCTATATGCTTCAGACCTAAGGAAGCCTCCATTATGCAGTATCTATCTGTGTTTGTACATACATTCATATGTGTAATATTTCATGTATCCTGTATCGTAATAATGTATTGCCTTTATTTGACCCACGCCTCTGTTATTTTGTACATTTTCTGCACAGCTCATATATAACCTCCTGCTCCCGTGTATTTTTTTTCTCTCTCCTTTGTTGTGTCTCAATATTTGACCTTTAAATCTGTATCTGAGTGTTTGAGTCAGACTGTAAATCTCCACCATATTAAAGGTGATCTGATCACTGCAGATCGTCTCAAGGTTTTATTTCATTACAAAACGATCCGAAACGGAACTGGATCGGATCTGGATCTCTTGAAACTGGAGCAGAAATGAGCTGCAGTCCAGATCCGGCTGTTCGGAGCTTTGCTCAGCGCATTTAGGACTGTTCAGGAGGGACCACACAACTACTGTTAATCTTTTTTAAAATTTGGTTTGAATATGCAAATTGTACCTGTGGTTGCACTGCGCTTTCATGGTGCATTCAAGTACACCTCGTACACAGGATAGGCCAAAAATCAACACAACTCCAGTGATTTAAACTTTTATTTTGCAGGTTTACACACCTTATTGATTATTTTTTAATTAATCAAACTAGTTAATGGAATATTATTCCTTATCCAGCTCAATGTTTGCTCTGATTTCTCCAGCTTTATCTAAAAATTAATTATTTCTTTTAAAAAAATCTAAAATGTACATAAAGCAGTTGAGTGTGATGGTACCCTGTGTCCACCAGATGGCAGTGTAACCACTTTAAGGCAGTTGTGGCATAAGTGTTGCTCCCAGTTCAGCCTTTAATGGTTTCCTGTTATTTTCAGCTGCATCAGTCCTGAAGCTGCCTCCACCGTGCATCACTGCAGGAACATTTGTATTATTTTGGTATCTGGTAGTTTAGGAAGTTATTTTTTATTTTGTGAACTACAGAAGAAGAATAGTTTTCATAAATAAAGGTTGGACAATGTCAGCTTGAGGTCTTGAGGTGTCAAATAAAAATAGCACCACAGTTGTTAAACACAGTTTTAGTGTCCTGTGTTTATGTCGGATCTGTACTTACCACAAAGTTTATACCTTATTACAGCATTCCTAGTTTTCAATAAAATCTACGTCTGTAACCAATTATTATTTTAGTAATTGATAATTCTGACGATAAAAAGTTGCCACTTCTGCATTTTTTTCTATAATAGAAGAATAGAATACAATTTAAGTATTTTTTTTTTTAAATAAGAAAATATTCATTTTATTGTCTAAAACCCAATACGGTAGTGCTCCCGAATGCTTTTGGAACCAAAGTTTGCTTCTTAAAGGTTCTGTAAAGCCGATCAACCTGAACAGAACTTTAGCAAAACGTTTCATGGAGATTTTCAAAATGTTATACAGTTTACCTCCAGGGAACTGTTAGAGAACGTTCTGTTAGAGAACGTGGTTGCAGCTGACTTTAATCAAATAAAACTTTGTGTAAACTTTTATTTTAAAGTGATTTAACTTCCGGTCTAAAACCAGAAATCTGCTGACTGAATATTTCTGTCATTTTTCAAAGTTCAATTCAACATAATTTTCACTCTGACGTCACGCGCGCGCTCCCGTGGTCTTATCAGATCACTGGAAGCGCGCTCCGGCCGCAGAGCAGCAGAGATCCTGGAGGAGGAGGAGGAGGAGGAGGGAGAGGAGGACGAGGCGCATATGGAGGCAGGAGCCTGAACTCCACCGGGATGAGTTCACCCGGTTCCGGGATGCTTTAACGCGCCGTCTGGATCTGACGCACACCAACAAAACTGAGCCAGAAACCTTCCTGACTGCGCGCAAACAGAGAGAACCACCTGGGCTCCGGTTGGACTCCCGGTTTTGTGCAGTAATTGCTGCTGCAGTCGGACTTCTGGCGCTGTTTCTGACGGTATCGGTGCGGAATGAGTGAAACCAGCGCAGTGGAAACTGAGAAACGTCGCTGCAGCGCCAGCGGATTGTCTGGGACGGATCCCGCTTCGCCGACTCTGAACTGATCCTGAATGAACGCAAACATGTACGCTGGGAGGAAGCGCAGAAAACCGGCGCAAAGAGGGTGAGTTCTAAAAGTGCGCAGATGAAGGAAGGCTGCCCGTCACTAATTGTGGACATGTAAGACGTATTAGTTACACTTTAAGTCGTCCCCGTTTAGCAGCGGCAGACAGTTTGTAAACATGGGATTATCGCCCTGTAATGGACTTATGGGGCCGCACAGCGCCCCCTGTGGGTCGCAGTGGAAGCTCCACTCCAGTCAAACAGTTAATTATCTCGTCATTAATTATCAGATTATCCAGGAGCGGATCTAGAGATATTAGAGCCCCGGGGCGCAGGAGGCCCCACAGCGTTACTCTGAATGTTTCTGTTGTACATTCTGATTATTTAGTGATCCCTGTACCAGAAATTAAGATTTTTAATCTGGATGTGGGTATTTATTACCTCTTTTTGTATTTATTTGTGTTATTATGGTTTTGTAAATATTTTTTCCTCTTTAGATATGACAGTTGTGAGATTTCTTCAATCATCTATGTGATTATTTTCTAGACTCTTGTGACTTTTCTGATCATTTTGTGTTTTTTTCTAACTAAATATATCTGTTCTTTATTTAAACCTGTTTATCATTTTGTGAATGCTCTGTCATTATATAATATGTTTTTGTCTCTTCTTGATATTTTGCTGTTTTTCTCTGTTTGGATTCATTTTTTGTCTAATCCTTTCGTCCATGTGCTGATTATTTTTTGCTTCTTGTGGATAATTTTTCTTTTGTAATATTTTAGATTTTTGTTCCTGACCATAATGTCAGAGGTCTTTTCTATTTTTAAATCACAGATCATTTTACAGAGGGCTGCACAGTTGGTAGAGCTGTTGCCTTGCAGCAAGAAG